CAGCACGCCCACACCAGGCCACAACAATGGCCGCCGCCAATGTCCCAGTCCCTGGAGAGATCTCACCTCTCACCGAGATGCACTCAGGGCCTATCAGGTGAGTCTCTTTTCACCAAAGCACTGTGCACCTTTCTTTCTGGTGATTTTAGGATGCTTTCTGAAACGGGTGAGTTTGCGCATGGGCCCTTTAAGAGCCGGTTTTACTTTCTTTGTGAACCAGCTTTTCTGGGGGTACTCCCCAACGTTTTAGTAGCAGGCAAAGTCAGATATTATGCCGCTTGTCTGCATTGTGCTGGGTCCACAAAATGCTCACAGCCGGGGCGCTCCTCGGCTTAGGGCCCCGCTCCTCCAGGGAGGGCTGTGTACCTGTGGGCTGCTCCCGGGCGGCCATGAGGCGCTGTGGCTTGTGAAGGCAGCATTTTTCCTCTCCAGAAGGGACTTTCTGCTTCTTCTAACTCAGTTAGGATTGTCCGTTGTTGCAGGAGTTCCTCTTATCCAGTTTTCAATTCTGTCTCAGGGGTAATTTTTCCACGAGTAGTTGTAAATTGTCTGTGTCTGTGGGAGGAGGTGAGTTCAGAGTCTGCCTACACTGCCATCTTGACTTCCTCCCCCTGACTGGGTAATTTTAAATGACCTCTCTTTGAGTTCACAGATTCTTTCTTCTGCTTTCTTGAGTCTGCTGTTGAAGCTCTCTATTGCATTTTTCATTTCATTCATTGTATTCTTCAGCTCCAGAATTTCTCTTTGGTTCCTTTTTATGATTTCTATCTCTTTGTTGAAGTTATAGTTTTATTTATGTATTGTTTTCCTAATTTAATTTGTCTATCTTATTATCTTGTAGCTCATTGAGCTTCTTAAAATAATTATTTCAAATTCTTTGTCAGGCAATTCATAGATATCCATTTCTCTGGGATTGGTTACTGGAAACTTATTGTATTCCTTTGTTGATGTCATTTTCTTGATTTTACATGATCCTTGAAGTCTTGGGCTGCTTCTTCACATTTGAAGAAGAGTCACCTCATAAATCTTTAATAAGACTTTGGGAGAGAAAGGTCTTTCACCAGTCAGCCTGGCTAGGTATTCTGGGGATCTCTCAGACCTTTTCTGTAGGTGCACTCCTCTTATTCCCTCTTGTAGAGGAAGCCTTAGGATTGTATGCCTTCTCTCAATTCAAAAAAATCCAGGCTAGTGGCTGAGAGACTAGGGCAGTGCCCTGTAGTGTTCAAGGTTATACACACTTGAGTTGAGCCAGTAGTCTGCATGTACTTGTGTGTACAATCTGCAGAGGTTTGTGCACATTGTCTGCAGGAGCACATGTGGGGAACCATCAATGGGGGAGGAGGGGCATGTGGAGTACTGCGAGTTAGTTGGGGATTCCACAGTTGGTGTGTCTTATGGTGTTCATGGGCAGGCCTGTTGGTGGAGTCCATGAGGCAATCAGTAGAATCTGTGACGCTTTGTTGAGGTTTGCTCCCTGGTTGCTGTGAGCTCCTGCCCCCTTTCCCTGCTCTAGTTTTCCTCAGAGTATTCAGCCACGCCAGTCCTCCTTAGTGTTTTGGGTGGGACAAAAAAGAAGTGGGCCTCTTGAGAAGCAACTTGCATGGCTGGGGAAGCCAGGTGCTCGCTATGCTCTCACTTTCCCATGTGGGAGAAATCATGGGCCAAGGGGTTAGTCCTTTGGCCCAATTGAGTGTCCCTCGACATTGACTTGTGCTGTCTTGGAGGAAAGGTGATGTGGGTAAAGTGGAACTGTTCTTTTTCCACTCTTCAATGTATCTATTCTTGGATGTTTTCCTCCAGTGGGGTGCTGGGACCTATTTGCTTGACTCTGGGCTCCCACAAATTTACTCTTGTCCATGGTGGTTGTCAAAATTGGTGTTTCTGTGAAGAGATGAGGGCTGAAAAACTTTGTTCTGCCATCGTGCTGATGTCTTTCTCTGAAATTGCAAGTATTTAAAAGCAGCATGAGAGCATCATCCAGGTTGATGACTACTTATACCAGGCTCTTGACACACAGGAGAGGTGATTCACTTTATATTTTCTAATGAATCATGATCCACTTAGCACAACAATAGAGGCTTCTGGGTTTTTTATTTAACTGTCTTATGTCCATTGTCAGGAAGGCTTCACTCTTGTTCTATTTCAGTCACAGCAAGATAGTATAAATCTTGAAGGGCATCGATTTTACACATTGAACATAGGCAATTCACATACATGTAAAAAGCAGTTCTCTAGTGGGTGATTAAAAATCTTAAATTGGCCAGCTTGACTTTATCTACCATGGCATAAGAAAGTGCATATGTTTAATTTTTGGAGGGGAATTCGTCTCTTCTTTGTCACTTCCAACAAATTAACCAAGTGCTCACTGGTCCCTCTGACCTGGCAGGGACACCCAGTCTAGGTATCTCATCACTGTTCACTAAAGATCATCCCACTAGATAGTTGTTTAAGTAAAACTTAGGGCCTTTCCAGCTTCTAATATGGGCATGATTTGTATATGTGTCCTACCTCACTGTGTAGATATGACAAATACTCCTTTCTATGAAGTATTCAAAACACTGTCAACTCTCTCTGAATGACACGTAAAACCCTTTAAATCTCATCTATAAGACCCAACTGATCTTTGTACTCCCCATCTATCTGTTCCTAGCAACATGCCCTCCATGTTTGAGAGAACTAGCAAGAATATGGTCAAAGAGATTGGAGACAAAGAACTAAGGCCTGTCAAAGACTTCTTGAGTGCCACCAAAATGCATCAGTTTTCTTTATTTCTGAAGAAGAAGACTCGCTCAAAGTTCTGGGAGCAACCTGAAGTTCTAGCTGACATCTCCCTCATGCACATCCTCGAACCAAGTTCTTCAGTCCCAGGTACTGTCAGCCATGGGCATAGGAGACAAGGAGTGAAAAATAACGGTGCTCAGGTAGAGGTGGTGCAGCATACAAGAAATTCTGAGATACCCACACAGGTAGATCTCAGGATGAGCTTTGCCTACAGGCAAGGGGCAAGGAACGAAGATTGAGAATTTACTAATTATTCACCCAAGCATACATTAGTTCATTTAATACTTACAGCAGCCTCTTGAGGTAGGAATATTATCTCCAGTTTACATAACAGTAAATTGAAACTTATAAAATAATTTGTCCCATGTTACATACCTGGGAACTGGTAGAACTAGGATCCAAACCCAAGTCTGTCTGGCTTCAAATCCCAAACATTTCCTGCCCCATTGTGCTCCCTCCTGGGGCTGGATGCTGTGCCTGCTGCAGGAGACCCTGTGCCTGGAAAGATGACGCCATGGGTCTCCTGGACCAGTGTACAAGCAACATCACCATTTCTTAGGGATGGGACATATCCCTGCTCTCTAACCCCCGGGTGGGTTCAAACATTTGTCCTCAGCAGTAATTTACACTTAAAATATCAATTAATTAGTTAGCTTTTCGACTGAGAGATTTAAATGGGTAGGAGAGTTGGGGCAAAATAGAACTCAGTCATTCCACTTCCATTCCATTTTCTGGCTGTTCCAGATTGAATTCTTGGCTAAACCTAAGGCCACCTTTTCTGTCTCTAGAAACCACTGTGGCAGGATCATTCCTCTTCCATGACACTCTGGTCCAGAAGCAGAAGGCTGATGTGAGTGTGAATGCTGGGGTAAGAGTGAGCTTGTCAGGGGAGGCTACTGAGTCCAGCGAAGACTCCCTCCAGTATCAGATTGTTACCATGCCGTTCCAGACCTGGACAGACCTTCAACAGAGGTGAGACCATGGGAGGGGAAGGGGGCAGGCCAGCAGAGCCTCAGAAAGAGCTCTCCTCTTGGGCAAAGAGATGTCCAGCAGGTTTCGTTGCTGAGGCTCAGAATGAAGAAAATGACATCCCAGATTATGCTCTTCTAGGGGTATTCATTTATTTATTCATTCAACTAATAGTTATCAGCTATGTGATAAGTATTTACTAAAATGGTAATTACCCATTACAGTGCTATTTTGTGCTGAGAATAATATCAAGACTGATCAAAATCCCTGTCCTACAGCATATTATATTTAGTGGGGTAGGGGACATGCAATGAGTGAGGAAATAAGTTATAAAAAAGTAACTTAACAAAGTATTAATTTAAGAGAGACAAAGACTCTGAAACTCTTGGTTTAAATAAAGTATGCATCAGTGTCCTAGGATTTAATTTAACTCTGTGCATGTGGGAAAAGAAGATCTTCAATAATCCTCTGAGGGCTTAACAAAGAACTTCTTAAGACTTTATGCCTTTTTGATACAGAGATGTCGATTTAAATAGTGTTTCTATCAATGCAAAGAATTATTAAAGTAAGCAATTAGTTAAAATTATGGACTGCTTACAGACTAAAAGTTGCTTTGACAGGGCATTGCACAATTTCTGTATTCCCAGTGTCTTGTAAGACTCATTAGAACTAACATTTGCAAAGACTGTTTATGGTGCAAAAGAGTATTTGGATTTCTATGGAAGCAATTAAAGAAAAAACATTTTGTCCTAGAAATTTCTTCCAGTAGTTAAAGAGGCTGCAATTTCTGGGATACATTTTATTATCTAGCACCAAGAGAAATAAATAAGCCTGAGGTCAAAATTTTAAATGTGAAAAGAAAGGCAATTAGATACTTTTAATAAATGGGATGCTGAGCACGTAAGGTATTTCACCTGAAGGTAGTTACAGATTGCGACGGGAGCTCTGAAGATAACAGTAGGCGTTGGTGAAAGAGACTGGCTGGAGGGAAGGGAGCCTATTTAGGTCTTTTTGTGGAGCTAACAGTTGAGCTCAGACCTAAGAATGAAGGAAGCAAGCAAGAGCAGGAGGAAAGGGGTCCAGATGAGGGATTTGAAGGCCATGGGACAGGACAGACCTGGATGTTTTCAACGTTTAGGGAGAGGCCAGCAAGGCTGAAGCTTAGCCAACTAGGATGAAGGTGATATAAAATGGGGCTTGGAGGTAAGTAGATGTCAGATGACATAGCACCTTAGAGCCACATAAGGGGCTCGAATTTCCCCCAAAAGGCAATGGGAAAACCCAGCACTGGATGCTCATTGACCTCCTCCACTGAAAAACAAGTTAAAGGTCTCTCAGTATTCCACACAGCTGTCATCCAGGGCACCAACCCCAGTGGGGCCTTGAGTAGAATCAGAGTTGAGTCTCAGACTGAAATGGACATGAAATTTGTCTTCAGTCCTTCAAATCTCTCACATCCCCCACCCACATTTATCTCTTCAAGTCAGTCCTACCAACCACCTACCAAGAACAGTGAGTCTATAAAATCTGGACTGGTTGTGAAAAATCATCCAGAATCCTCCCTGCTTCGTCTGCTCCACATCCCACCCTGATTGTGCCTCTGGACAATGATGGATGTGGGTTTCCCCGGCTTTGACGGTAGGATCTCCTGAGGCCAGTTCTCAACCATGTGGACTTGTCTACTTCTAGCCTCTTCTGGTGAGAAGCCGTAGTGCTGGAAACCTATAAGCCAGCCCCTAACAGGCCCAATAGGATTATGGAAAATGCAGATGCCTTTCACAATATGGCATGCATACTCTCATGCCTGTACCCCCATCAGAGTATGGGGGCTCCTCCACTGTGCATATCAGAGATGTTCTGTTGCCCTAGGTAACTTAACCTATAAACCAATATCTTTGTACCCATTGAAGGATCACCTGTCAAAGTCCACCAGCTCTGCATGCCTTCCAGGTCCTGAGGAGAAGAGTAACCCAGAGTAACCCAGGAAGGCATCCCTTCCCACTCTGACCCTTCTCCTCCCTTACATCCCCAGGAAAGTGTTGGCTCCAGAGCCACCATTTCTGAAGCAGTGCTGGAAAGCAGGTGTGAACCTATATGTTGTGACAGAGACTGTGGAACTGCTCAACAGTCCTGTGCTGTGTGATACCAGCAGTGTGATTCTTTCGGGAAAATTTTCCATCCCTTGAAATACTTTAGTCAAGTTATGGGATGGGAACACGAAGAGCATAGTCAGCCTAGCCTTACTGCCCATAGGAGTCTGGATCTTAATCAGTATCTGTTTCCAGATGTCGGAAGGGTTGGGGTCGTTATTTCTCACTTCTCATTTGCCAATGAATCCTGACTCCTGACCTGAGACTATATTCTAACATCCTCATTGATAGTGCATTAATATATGGGATTACTCACTATTGGTAAAATAGGAAATAGATTTAATTTTGTGGTATTACATTTTGCTTTGGGTAAGCAATGGATTCTGGCTAATCTAAAGATGAGGCTGCTGTACTATATATGTGTCCAGTTTTATGTATGGCTGGAAGAAGTGAGGGACCACTGACACCAAACCTCAGCAGTTACAGCACCCTTAAGGCTGTGATATCCCGAGCAGGAATGATTTAAAGAGTGAGATTTAAATATCTTCAAGCACATATGATTTACATAACTCACTCACAATAACTGATAATAATACTTTTAATTAATTTAAGGAAATTCATATATCAAATATTTTGTGAGTTATAATGTACTTTTGCACAATATATATTTTATGTGTAATTTGTCCTCACTTAAGAGATTTAGAAAATAAGAAAAAAAGCCTAGCTGTGAACTAACTTTCCCAAAGGTGGTGATTTTGTCCTGAAGGAGGATCAGACTCCACCCAGGTTATTTCATTCCAAGTCCAATGGATAAAGAAATTTGAACTGAATAAAACATTACTACAGTTGGGAGGATATACTGATATTCAGCTTTGGGTTTCTGTTTTCTTGTGTTGATGGACTGGGCTTTGTAAGAACAGGGGGAGAAAACCCTATGTCATTTCACTTAGGGTGACTACTCAGCTGTGTGTCCAACGCTGCCATCCCAGCTGTTCACAGCCAGTATGGTTCTAAATGTCAGGACTGTGATGTTGTTAAACAGTTTGTGTATCACCGCTGGTTCATGGTTGCATCGATATTGTTTTGGTCAGTCAGACAAAAGATCAATGAAGAAATGGGGAAATTGAACAACTCTGTGTAAATCAATTGGACCTAACAACACTGTATAGACTAATTGGAACTAACACACATATACAGAACACTCCACTTAACAGAACAGAATACACATTCTACTCAAGCACACATGCAACGTTCTCCAGTATAGTTCACACGTTAGGCCTCAAATAAGTCTTACCAAATTTAAGAAGATTGAAGTCACACCAAATATCTTTTGTGACTACAATGGAATGAAACTAGACATCAATAACAAAAGGAAAACTGGAAAATTCACAAATATGTGGAAATTAAACAATGCAGTCTTGAACCTCTAATAGGTCAAAGAAGATATAACAAGGAAAATCAGAAAATATCTTGAGGTAAATGAAAATGAAAACACAACATATAAAACTTATGCAGCAAAAGCAGTTGTAAGAGGGAAGTTTATAGCAGCAAATGTTTACATTGAAAGAGAAGAAAGATCTCAAATCAACAACCTAACTTTACACCTCAAGGAAGTAGAAAAAGAACAAACTAAACCCAAAGTTAGCAGAAGGAAGCATATAATAATGATTAGCATAGAAATAAACACAATAGAGAATAGAAAAACAATAGGAAAAAATCAACAAAATTGAGTTGTTTTTTTGAAAAGATCAACGAAATTGACAATTCCTTAGTTAGACTAAGAAAAAAAGAGAGAAGGCTCAAATATCAAAAATTGTAAATGAAAGAGGGGACATTACAAATAAAAAGGATCACAAGAGACCACTTTTGATCTATTTTACACCAACCAGTTGGATAACCCAGATGAAATGGATAAATTTATAGAAACATACAACCTACCAAGACTGAATCTTGAATTAATAAAAATGAAGAGACCTATAACTAGTAAGGTCTGTTCTAAGTAAGATTAGATTAATAATAATCTTAGATTATTGTTTAAGTAAGACAATAATCAAAAGTCTCCCAACACAGAAAAGCCCAGGACTAGGTGACTTCACTGGAGAATTCTACCAAACATTTAAAGAAGAATTAACACTAATCTTTCTCAAACTCTTCCAAAAAATTGAACAGGAGGAAATACTTCCAAACTCACTTTATGAGGCCAGCATTAGCCTGGTACCAAAGCCCCTAAAAGATATTACACAAAGAGAAAATTACAGACCCACATCCCTGATATTGATGTAAAAATCCTCAACAAAATACTAGCAAATCTATTCAACAGCACAGTAAAAGAATTATACACCATGACCAAATGGGATCTATTCTTGGAATGCAAGTATGGGCCAACATATGAAAATCAGTGATTGTAATACACCACATTAACAAAATGGAAGACAAAACCCTCATGACCATCTCAATTGATGCAAAAAGGCTTTGGCAAAATTCAGCAATCTTCCATGATAAAAACATCCAAAAACTTGGCATAGAAGGAAATTACCTTAAGATAATAAAGGCCATATATGAAAAGCCCACAGCTAACATCATCCTCAAAGGTGAAACCTGAAACCTTTTTCTCTAATACAGGAATAAGACAAGGATGCCCACTCTTTCCATTTCTATTCAACATATTACTGGAAGTCCTAGCCAGAGCAATTAGGCAAGAAAAAGAAATAACAGGCATCCAAATTGGAAAGGAAGAAGTAAAATTATCTCTGTTCACAGATAACACAATCTTATATATAGAATCCTCTAAAAATTCCACGCACACACACACACAAACACAAAACTGTTAGAACTAATAAACAAATTCAGCAAAGTTTCAGGATACAAAATCAACATATAAAATTAGTTGAGTTTCTGTACACTACCAATGAACAATCCAAAAAGGAAATTAAGAGAACAATCCTAGGGCCGGCCCCATGGCTTAGCGGTTAAGTGCGAGCGCTCCGCTGCTGGCGGCCTGGGTTCGGATCCCGGGCTCGCACCGACACACTGCTTCTCTGGCCATGCTGAGGCCGTGCCCCACATACAGCAACTAGAAGGATGTGCACCTATGACATACAACTATCTACTGGGGCTTTGGGGGGAAAAAAAAAAAAAGAGAGAACAATCCTATTTACTTTCCTAAGAAAAATAGACTTAAGAATAAACCTAACCAAGGAGGTGAAAGACTTGTACAATGAAAATTGGGAAATGTTGCTGAAAGAATTAAAGAAGATGCAAAATAAATGGAAAGACATCCCATGTTCATGGATTGAAAGAATTAATATTGTTAAAATGTCCATACTACTCAAAGTGATCTACAATTTCAATGCAATCCCCGTCAAATCTCAGTGGCTTTTTTTTTTTTCAGAAATAGAAAAAAAAAAACCATCCTAAAGTTCATGTAGACTCTCAAGGGACCTCAAATAGCCATAACAATCTTGAGAAAAAAGAACAAAACTGGCAGCATCCCACTTCAAAACATAATACAAAGCTGCAGTAATCAAAACAGTATGGTATTGGTATAAAGACAGACATATAGACTAATGGAATGGAATAGAGAGCCCAGAAATAAACTCTTGCATATGTGGTCAAATTATCTTTGACAAGATGCCAAGACCACACGATGGGGAAAGAATAGTCTTTTCAACAAATGGTCCTGAGAATACTCTATATCCATATACAAAAAAATGAAGTTGGGGATCCTTACCTTACATCATATTCAAAAATCATCTCAAAATGGATTAAACACCTAAATGTAAGACCTGAGACTGTAAAATTGCTAGAATAAAACAGAAGGGGAAACCTTCATGGCATTGTGTTCAGCAACGGTATCTTGGATATGACACCAAAAGCACAGGCAACAAAACAAAAATAGACAAATGAGACTACATCAAATTTAAATACTTCTGTGCAGCAAAGGAAACAATCAGCAGAGAGAAAAAAGCAACCTATGGAATGGGAGAAAATATTTGCAAACCATACATCTGAAAAGGGGTTAATATCCGTAATATATGAAGAACTACTACAAATCAACAACAGCAACCAAAACGACCTGATTGAAAAATGGGCAAAGGATTTGAACAGACATTTCACCAAAGAAGTTATACAAATGGCCTACAAGCATATTAAAAAGTGCTCAACATTACTAATTATCAGGGAAATGCAAATCAAAACCATGATATCACCTCACACCTGTCTGGATGGCCGCTATCAAGAAAACAGAAAATCACAAGTGTTGGTGAGGATGTGGAGATGTTGAAATTCTTGGGTACTGTTGCTTGGAATGTAAAATTGTGCAGCTGCTGTGGACAATAGTATAGAGTTTCCTCAAAAAATTAAAAACAGAATTACTATATGATCCAGCAATCCTGCTCTTGGGTATATATCCAAAGGAACTGAAAACAAGATGAAGAGATAGTTGCACATTAATGTTAATTGTAGCATTATTAACAATAGCCAAGAGGTAGAAGCAACTTAAATGTCCATTAAAGTACGAATGGATAAAGAAAATGTATATACATACAATGGAATATTATTGACCTTAAAAAAGGAAGGAAATCCTGTCATATGCTACAACATGGATGAACCTTGAGGACATTATGCTAAGTGAAATAAACCAGTCACAAAAAGACAAATACAGCATGATTCCACTTATATGAGACATATAAAGTAGTCAAATTCTTAGGAACAGAAGGTAGAATGATGGTTGCCAGGGGCTGGGGAGAGGGAGAAAAAACGGAGCTATTGCTTAAAGTTATAGAGTTTCAATTTTGCAAGATGAAAAATTTCTGGAGATCTTTTTCACAACAATGTGCCTAAGTTAACACTACTGTACTGTACACTTAAACATGGTTAAGATGATAAATTTTATGTTGTGTGTTTTTTCCACAATAAAAATTAAATAGAAGAGCTGCATAGTAAAAAAAAAGTTTACAAAATTCAAATAGCTTAACTTTTTTTTTTTTTGTATAACTGAAATCCATCTTGCTTTTATAGCAAAATGTGAAGCCTTACTTGTATCCTCAAATAACTTATTGTCATGTGCCTGTTGAACAGGGCACAAATTCATAAAGACAAAAAAAAAGTAGTGGAAACAACAGCAGAGAAGAGATGTCAAAATTCAGAAAATTCTGCTAAAAAGCAGACAAATGGTAAGAGACCCTGGAAAACAAGAATAGTGGAGCCCCAAATGCATCAGGGAAGGATGTCTAGAAACAAGAACCCCTGAAAGGCTCAGGAATTGGAGGCACCAGCTACCTCTGAAGAAAGGGTACAGGGGGGATTGCAAGTAAAAATAGTGGTTGAAAATCTAAGTAAGGAACACTTAGAGTTCCAGACCCCTTTCCTACCTCCGCATAGCCTGGACACTACTCTCACCCACCCTTTGTCCCCCACCCACTCCTTAGAAGACTCTCTGGAGAATTTGAACAATGTGGGCTCTAGATTTGGAGACACTGGTTACAATGAAGGGTGGGGGTAAGTGATCGTATTGGAAAAGGGAAAATAAGTGAAAATCCTTTTTCTGTGTGGGGAAACTGAGCCCTCTTTCCCCATGCAGCTCTGGGTATCCTGCCTCCATCTCCTATAAGCCCCAACACACATATCCCAGGCACAGGATTGAGGGATTAATCCCTTGGAAAATTAACCAGTCCAAAAGAAAAAACCCAACATCCCTACAGTTGGGGACCCCAAAGGAATAGCTTGATCCCTGCCTGATCACCCCAAAGTGAAACCCCTCACTCAACAAACCCTGCCATCGCACACTTAACATCTATCCTCTTTGTAATGCTTCATTGTCAATAAAAACCACACAACTAAAAAATCATAAGCACTTGAGGAAAGCCTTAAGCACACACACACAAAAACCATACATTGAAATTTGGAAACCAGAGGAAACAAAGACCACTCAGGGAGGAAAGAAATACTTCATCTCTCAAAGTGATAATATATATATTTTTATTGAGGTCATAATAGTTTATAACATTGTGAAATTTCAGTTGTACATTGTTATTTGTCAGTCACCATATAAAATGCACCCCTACACGCCTTATGCCCACCTCCCAAGCCCTTCCTCCCATAACTACCAAACCGTTTTCTCTGTCCGTGTGTTAGTTCATCTGCCACTTATGAGTGAAATCATACTGTGTTTGTCTTTCTCTGTCTGGCTTAATTCGCTTAGCATAATACCCTCAAGGTCCAACCATGTCGTTGCAAATGGGACGATTTTGTCTTTTTTTTATGGCTGAGTAGTATTCCATTGTATATATATACCAAGTCTTCTTCATCCAATCATCAGTTGATGGACACTTGGCTATAGTGAATAATGCTGCAATGAACATAGGAGTGCATAATTCTCTTTGGATTGTTGATTTCATGTTCTTTGGATAAATACCCAGTAGTGGGACAGCTGGGTCATATGCTATTTCTATCTTTAATTTTTTGAGGAATTACCACACTGTTTTCCATAAAGGCTGCACCAGTTTGCATTCCCACCAGCAGTATATGAGGGTTCCCTTTTCTCCACAACCTCTCCAACATTTGTTATTTTTTGTCTTGGTGATTATAGCCATTCTAACGGGTGTAAGGTGATATGTTATGTAGTTTTGATTTGCATTTCCCTGATGATTAGTGATGTTGAGCATCTTTTCATGTGCTCGTTGGCCATCTGTATATCTTCTTTGGAAAAATATCTGTTCATATCCTCTGCCCATTTTTTGATCAGGTTGCTTGTTTTTTGGTTGTTCAGTTGTCTAAGTTCTTTATATATTATGGAGATTAACCACTTGTCAGATATATGATTTGCAAATATTCTCTCCCAGCTGCTGGGTTGTCCTTTTATTTTGATCCCAGTTTCCTTGCGTTGCAGAAGCTCTTTAGTCTGATGAAGTTCCACTTGTTTATTTTTTTCTTTTGTTTCCCTTGTCCAAGTAGACATGGAATTCGAAAAGATCCCTCTAAGACTGATGACAAAGAGTGTACTGCCTATATTTTCTTCTAGGAGTTTTATAGTTTCAGGTCTTACCTGAGAGTCTTCAAATGGGTCTTTGATCCATTTTGAGTTAATTTTTGTGTATGGCAAAAGATAATTGTCTACTTTCACTCTTTTCCATGTGGCTGTCCAGTTTTCCCAGCACCATTTATTGAAGAGACTTTCCTTTCTCCATTGTGTGTTCTTAGCTCCTTTGTCGAAGATTAGCTGTCCATAGATGTGTGGTTTTATTTCTGAGCTTTCAATTCTGTTCCATTGATCTGTGTGTCTGTTTTTGTACCAGTACCATGCTGTTTTGATTATTATAGCTTTGTATTATATTTTGAAGTCAGGGACTGTGATGCCTCCAGCTTTGTTCTTTTTTCTCAGGATTACTTTGGTTATTCAGGGTCTTTTGTTGCTCCCCATTAATTTTAGGATTCTTTGTTCTATTTCCATGAAGAATGTTATTGGGATTCTGATGGGGATTCCATTGAATCTGTAGATTGCTTTAGGTCATATGAACATTTTAACTATGTTTATTCTTCCAATCCGTGAGCATGGACTATCTTTCCATTTCTTTATGACTTCTATGATTTCTTTCAATAATGTCTTATAGTTTTCAGTGTACAGGTGTTTCACCTCCTTGGTTAAATTTATTCCTAGGTATTTTATTCTTTTTGTTACCATCATAAATGGGGCTGTATTGTTGACTTCTCTTTCTGTTAGTTTGTTATTAGTGTATAGAAATGTAATTGATTTTTGTAAGTTGATTTTGTACCTTGCAACTTGACTGTAGTTGTTGATTATTTCTAATGGTTTTCCAATGGATTCTTTAGGGTTTTCCATATATAAAATCATGTCGTCTTCAAGCAGTGAGAGTTTCACTTCTTCATTGCCTATTTGGATTCTTTTTATTTCTTTTTCTTGCCTAATTGCTCAGACCAAAACCTCCAGTACTATGTTGAATAAGAGTGTTGAGAGTGGGCACCCTTGTCTTGTTTCTGTTCTCAGAGACATGGCTTTCAATTTTTCCCCATTGAGTATGATGTTGGCTGTGAGTTTGTCATATATGGCCTTTATTATGTTTAGGTACTTTCCTTCTATACCCATTTTATTGAGAGTTTTTAACATAAATGGATGTTGGATCTTGTCAAATGCTTTCTCCGCATCTGTTGAGTTGATCTTGTTATTTTAATTCTTCATTTTGTTAACGTGATCTATCACATTGATTGATTTGCAGATCTTGAACCACCCCTTGTCCTTGGAATAAATCTAACTTGATTGTGGTATATGATCCTTTTAATGTGTTGCTGTATTCAGTTTGACAATATTTTGTTGAGGATTTTTGCATCTATGTTCATCAGCAATATTGGCCAGACAGTTTTCCTTGTCTGGCTTTGGGATCAGAGTGATGTTGGCCTCGTAGGCTGGGTTAGGAAGTGTTCCGTCTTCAATTTTTTTGAATAGTTTCAGAAGAATAGGTGTTAAACTTTTGAATGGTAGAATTCTCCAGAGAAGCCATCTGGCCCTGGACTTCTATTTTTTGGAAGGTTTTTGATTGCTGTTTCAATCTCTTTACTTGTTATTTGTTTATTCATA